TGAAACCAATTCAGTTCTGGGAAGGGGAACCAGATTCTTTTCTGGCCTGTGCATCTGCAAAAGGATTATTACCTAAATCAACACATACAATTTCTATTTTTGTGACGGGGGAGCCAAAAAGCACCTCACTTATTTTCTAGATGCTAGTCAGAAAACTTTATTTTTAATTATGAAAAGAGCAGACCTGGACTAACTGCAAGACCACATCTGGACTGACAGAAAAGACATGAAGATCTGCACATGGCTCTGTAAAACTCATATTTTAGAGAAAAAAAATATATATCCAACAACTTTCTATGTCATTCCTCAAAATACCATTTGAATGCAAAGGGAACTCAGTGTCAGACAGGGGAACACCACCAAAGCTAGGACATGTGTACTCATCCTGTAGACAGCTCAGACCAGCAAAGAGTTTTTGCTCCCTGGTCTGCCCTGAACTGCTCCTCAGAATTTTCCTACTGAGTTGCATTATTGCATCCCCTGCTCCCTTGCCAGTGGCACTGCTTGTGGGGACATCTCCCTAATGCACAAAGTAAAAAGAACCAAGTCTTTAAAGTCCTGCTGTTTAATCTCTTAAAAGTAATGACACTGGTTTTGACACGTGGCTTATGAAGTACTCGACCATTAGTCCCACTGGGGGTAAGTTTGGGGCGGTGGCCCCTTTATCCAGCACAGCTGGATCTGGAAGAGGACACCTGACCATGATCTAGCCTAGGATGCTTTCCACAGTGGAGCATCTGCCTATACCAGTGCCATTCCCAGCCTTTCTCATGGAAATAGATTTTAAAAGAAAAAAAAGAACCACCACAGGAGTGGCAGAGAATTTCAGAGATGCCAATTTCCCAAGGACAGTTTCAGAGAACAGAAACACTAAGGAAGTTGCAGTGTGTTTATATATGATCTACTTATTTTAAAACAAATTATCAGCAGGAAAAAAAAAAAAAGCAATATCCCAAGGCAACAGAAAGGAAATCAAGTGTATCAAAGCTACTTCTGAACTCCCATTACCTACCCACTTGGCAACGCTGACTTTTGAAATTATACTACACCATTCATTTTTACTCTCATGATGCAAAGGGAGAAGGAAGAAAAAAAACTCCCCCATCCTACCCCCCTCTTATTATTAAAATATCTTAAAAACAGATCTGCATTGTTACTTCAAGGTTTCTAATGTTAGTACTGTATATATTTATAGATGAGGTATTCCTTTCTGTCTGAAGCACATGAGGTAATAAGTAGCTGGGATTGTCACGGTGATTTATTAACATATTCTCTAGGAGAAGCCCTGCACCTGCGTCTGTGCAGACAGAACACCCACGAAGGCTGAACTCACCCTTACACAGCCCACAAGATCTTAAAAGGAAATGCTCCAAATTTAGACCTGCTCCAACAGGTGTCTTTTACTGTCTCACTTTGCATGACCATAAATATCAGAGGTGGAGCAAAAAGCTCCCTGTCCATTGTAATCGTGCTTTGAAAACAAATACCTTTGCCCCCTCCCAAAGCAGAGGCAGCAGCTATGGAATTCTCATCATTTCCTCACTCCTTCATCCTGTCAAGACCCAAGTCAGAGAGATGTCACCGGCAAAACCAGGCTCCAGGGATGAGCACATAACTTTATTTTTTTCTCTTCAAAGGGCCCTAAACTGGCTCTGAAACTTCCCCAAACTGTATTTCTTTCATTCTAGTATCTCATCTTGCAGCTATTTGCCAAAGTGAATGACATGCACAGGCTGTTCATGGCTTTTTATAAGCTCTCATTACCCAAACAGGGAACCATTTCCTTGAAAATGCTTTCCCCAGCAGCTTTAGTCTCTCTAGGCACCACCAATAAATTTGTCTTCTTGGCCCATCCTGATGCACACCAAAACGTGCCTGGATGGATGTATTTGATATTGTCTTCCATTTGTTTACTAAGGGTGGATGCTACCTGTGGGACTTGTCATCTGGGTGATTAACAGCGCAGGGAAAATAAAGGATAATTTTAACAGCTGAACAGAAAGCTTTGCCAGATTTGCTCTGGCAAGCAAAGGAGCAAAATCCAGACTCTCCGCTGTGGTCTAACAAGGAGAGGCAATCCCAAACCCAAAATGGCTATCCACGACTTACAAACCCACAACACAAATCAAAACAACAAATCTGGAAAAGAAATCCTAACCAAATCTGAGAAAGAGAATAACAGGTTATACCGTGAGCTTAGAAATCCCATCAAAACGTTTCATTCCGCAACACTTTCATTATTACAAAATGCCTGAGTCAAGAGCAGATAAATATTTAATACTCAACAGGTACTCAGGAGAATGTATGTTTTCCCCTGTCCCTCCCCACCAGCTGCTCTTTTATGGCAGGAAAGTGAAGAGCGTGAAATCCAATGATAGGAAGAAGGCAAAGGTCAGGAAAAAGGTTTTTCTACAAGGATTTAAATTAGCGTTCTACAGCTTTGGATGTTTTGTCAACACAACTTCCCTCCTGTGAGGAAGGGAAGCCAAAGGCCCTTTGAACCATTTCTGTATGGGATCTAGATTTTTTACCAGTAACAAGACTCCTAGCTTTAAAGAAAAGTTCAGCTTCCCTCTTCCCATCCCTTTCACCACTCCCTCCCTGTTCCTCCTTCCACTCCCCTCTTTAAAAGGAGAGAGAAAAAAGAAAATAGAAAAAGGATCTGAAGAACAAAACAAGCACTGGAGGAGTTCTAGAGTTCATGTAACAAGACCACTATAACCCTTCAAAGGGACCATTAAAAGCAAAACAAACAAAAGCAACAGCCTCAAGACGTCTATTGTATTTTACAGAGGAATGAATGAGTGTACTGGAAATTCTCCCACCATCTTGCCACAAAGTCTGTTATTTCATCAAAACAAAGTCCAGGGATCAAGAAACAGCCAACATGGCAGCTGAAAGTCAGTCACTTCCAGTGATCCATGAAGCAAACGAGATTGGGCTTGCTTTTTTTCTTTCCTTTTTTTTTTTTTTTCCTCTCTTTGCTTTACTATGATGTATTAAAAAAAGACTTCAAAGATTGTTTTAAGCATTGCTTTTGTTTCTCACATGAGAAAGTCAGGGCTTGAGCAGGTCTAGACAACACAGTGGTTAAAACATCATTAGCTGCCAACACTTTGTCTTCTTAGAGCTCCCACAGTTGTTGCTTCCCTGGATTTGCCTCAATTGAAAATATTTGACAATTTCCATATACTGTTTTGCTTCCCTCAGAGCTTCTCCAAGGTGGCAGCTGTAAAGCACAGAGAGCACAGCAGCATCCACAGCGGGCAGTTTAATATATCAGAGGTTCACCCAGGTGGATACTGGCCCAATACTTCTGCCTGATGCTTCAAAGCATCCTTTTTATTTTCTTTTTAGCACTTAGCAGATCTTTATTCTTCTAGACTATCCTGTCATCTTTGGGCTTGGAGGGTGGCTAATGCTTTACATTAGCTTTCATAGCTGTGGAAATGTAAGAAGGACAGGGAGACACACAGATTCTTATCCCATCTGTGTATCACCAACACTCCATTTACCAAATCCCAAATAGTTATGATCAAGAAGATCTGCTGAAGACAATGTAACTGAACAGGTGCTCCCGAGGGCAAAGTTTAGCCTGCAGGATAAAGCCTGATTAATTTAGCTATAGGAATGAGAATTCTCTGGTTAGATGAACCTGTAAAATCAGGGGTCAACTGAGATCACACATGTTACAGCAATTCCTAAGTCATTATACCACAGCCACCCACTAGTGCCAGGGGAAAGTCATAAAAACAAGCTTGTCACTAACAGTAGATATAATATTCCTCCCTAGCCCAAAACAGATCTATTAGACTTCATTTGCAACAAAACACAGAACATAACAGTAATGAATTTCCTACTCTATGCAAATCAGCTGCTGTGTATGTATACAAGGTTTGCCTGCAGCTTGGTCCCTGCCCTGTCCAAGAAAAACCCAGGAAAGAGCCAGTGGAAACATGCTGGGACAGGTTCTTTCCATCACAACAGTTAACAGGGCCCACTCTTGATCACCCCCATTCTAGGGTAACCCTCAAACTTGGGCAGAAGAGGGGTCTTCTTTCCATGGGCACAGAGCAGCTCCCTCACATCTGGCAGCGGGATGTTCAAGGAAAGATTACACCGAGCTGTGGCCTACAGCACACACCAGAGGCATTTTCACAGCAGAGATTTATCTGAGAGCAGACCCCAGATGTCCGTATCCTTGACTTAAAAGGTCCACATGGATGAATTCCCTGCTCTCAGATGGCTGCCCCACAGGTGTCTCATCTCACAGAGGTGAAAGTCTGACTGTCAGCCTGGGACAGACTACAAAGGTTGGCCTTCTCAAGGAGACAGCAGAGCTCTCCACAGAGAACGTCAGACGTGTGTCTGAGACAGCTAAAATCACTGTACAGAAGACTGTAATGAACAAGAAGTCATCTTTCCTTCTCCTACTAATGGATATGAATTACACTGTGCAGGAAGCTCAGCTGCTCTGACATATTTAATAAATTCATCCAAGTCCCCAGTGCAGTTTAATGGTGGATATAACGTGGATTCTCTAATGAAACTTTTGGGGTCTGCAAAGACAGCTGAGCTTTTGTGCCTTATATGCAGAAGAGGGTCATGAAATCCTGAGAGCCCCTCATGGATACTCTGCAACTCCATCTGGGATTCAAACAATGAGACCAGCATTTATGGACATTATGGACATAGGCCTAACACTTCAGGATGTCTGAATCTTAACTGTATCTGTACTGTAGCAATACAGGCTTCATTTCAGCAAGAGTTACCTTTTCATGCATTCCTTTTCTTGCCCCGGAACTTTTCACAACAGAGGTGTAAGAAAAGCCTATCAATCAGTTGTAATGATGTAACAAATAATAAAATACTGCTCCTTGAATATTGCAAAAGCTGCTTTTCCTGTTCCCTCCTCACCCTGCTTTGACCACCACTTCTAGTACACAGTTATTTTACCCCATTCCAAGTTCAGTTTCTATTACAAGGACTCATGAGCTTACTTCTGAAGGATGGATCTTTTAATGACAAGTTCTTCATCCAAGTCAGCTTCATTAGCCATGAAGAGCAATCTTTTTCCTGTGTCATCCACTCCAATGAAGTCACGCTGCTCCACTGAAGTAAAAAACCAAACAATCATTATATAACCCCACTTTAATGCAGGTTGAAAAGACAAAGGGGACCACCGACCACCCTCCAAAATATGAAATATTAGGTTTCAGACTTTCCCAGCAAATCAATGAATTTAATATTTATGGATAACTTTTCCAACTTCTTTTCAGTCAGGGTAGCTGATATACATCAAGACATTCAAAACACTGGCCCTGCAAGCTTCTTGCATCCTTTTTATGAAGATGCCAACTACAGGTCCTTACATGCAACATTATCTTGAGCTATGCTTTCCTTCTTTCTCTTTTTAATTTTTTTTAAATAAAAAAAAAACCTGCTACCTTAATTTACACAACAACAAACCCAAGGCAAGCAGTGAGTTTTTCAAAATCCAACTGCTTCTTCCTCATCATAAGCCACTCCACATTGGAACTAGGTGGTCTGGAGCAGATTATGATTTCAGTTAAGACATAAATATTTTGCAACTCATCTATTTCAGATAAATACTAATAGCAATAGCAAACCTAAATCACAAACAGGCACAAAAGCATAGATTCTAAGACTTCTACCACAGATGTTTCTGGGTGAGTTAACTTGGTTTAAATATCCATTTATAAAACTGCCAACCAAGAGAATACCTAACAGTCACACATATTATTGTGGCAATCCCCATCTCCTGCAATCAGTGGCTGAGCATCAACAGGGACTTTGGCCTACTGAAATGTAAAGCATTTGTTTTTCGAACAGTTTTCCACAACATCTGAATACAGTGGTGGCAGCTTATTCTAATGTTCACTTTGTAGTAGGAACCATCACTCTGGTGGCAGCCAGATATCAATTTTTACAGAGCCACAGGCTGTACGAGAAAGCCATGGTACAGTTCTAACAAAAATCTCCTTTCTCCCACTAAATACTACTATTTTGGGCCAAACCGGCAAATATTTGATCTCCTAAGTTCTAAGCCTTTAACCACACTGGACTAACAGCATGGCCTAGAAGTAGCTAATTCTCTAAGATCTTTTTCAGCCAAACTATTTTTAACCTTATTTTTCCCAGTTCAGCCCCATCCCTTGTGTTTTACTTTTACTTGTTCTCTCAGAGTTACCATAGCAATAACCACTATCAAAATACAGTCAGACCTACACAGCTGTCAAAAGTTCTCCTGTGGCACTCTTTGATCCAAGTGATCAAGCACAGCCTCTTCAGAAAATCCCCCAAGCCTTCTCAGAAATTAATCATACAGCAGAGAAGTACAAAAATAGGCCTGAGCATGTAACACTATGACAAATTAAGTACAATTACAATAAAGCTCACTTGATGTAAAAACTCAAGTTTAAGTCTTGAAAGCAGTGCCAGTTCTCCTGCAATGGAGGGTGATGAAGTTTGAGAGTAGGGGCTCATCAACCCTCATCTCTGCCTCCTAAATGGGTTCTCCTGACAGGTCAGAAATACAACAGTGTCTGATTTTCTTCCATCAAGGTATCAACACTTCTCTCAAAGTTCAGATCCTGCCTGCCCATCTCCTGGTTGTTCCTACAGTAAAGTGACATATTACACTGCCACAGAAAAACCCTCTGCAACAAGGGAAAAAAACCCCACTTGATGAGAACAGGACCAGGTACGTGACAGACACCAAACCGGTTTCTATTGCTTGTGTGGATAGATAAGAAACAAGCAGTGAAGCCACGAGAACACTCTGTGGGGTTTTTTTGTAGCAGATGCCAGGTCAGGTTTTTCCCTGTACACTGGCAATAACTAAGCACTACTGTAAAGCTAAAAAAGGCAAAACTTACTACTAAAATCAATTATCCAGAGATACAAGAGAGCTGTTTCGAATCCCACTGGCCTTATTTAGTGAGGAATAAATAAATGGAAGAATGAATACATAACTAGTTTACAAAATCCCTTCAAGGAAAGTATGAGAAAAATGTTAAAGCTGCAGTGACAGTAACTTTAAAAAAAAAATCATTTAAAATACGGAAATGGAAAGCAGGATGTGTTTTGCCTCCTCATGATAAATGAATAAGGATTTGACACTGATATTGCAATTTATTAATTACCTTAGAAATTAGATTCTCATCTATTTCAAGGGCTTTAGCGATCTAAAGAAATCATGACATCACAAGAAAATGTTGAGCAATTTGGTGATGAGGAGAAATAAATTTCAGTCAGATTTTCTAAAATGCTTTTAAATCAAACATAATTAATTGACACTTGAAAAAAAAGACACCTTTGTTCAAGATTCAGTATCCCCACCCTTTCAATTAAAGGGAGAGAATTCACACGATGCAGCCTTCAAGACCACCAAGAGGTCTTCTGGCAAACACAGGGAATACCAGTGATGACATGCCTGCTGCTTTCAAGACAAGAAAAATAAGCAGGAAAGAGTCACCATCCCCATCTCTTCTGCCTTTCTTTACACACAGAAAGGTTCAGACACTATTTTCCACACAATCCCTTGCAGGCCATCTTGAGGCACAGGGCTCCACTCTGGGAGTCTGAATTCCTGACATTCTCTGTTTATTTGGGTTACTGCCATTCACTAGCACTTCGGTGTTGTGTTTTTTTCTATGGCCATGCCTTCCATTGCTCAATTAAAAAAGCCAGTGAGATGATTATTGTCAATATGTGATCCCCTAAAGATAAAAGCCAATGAACTTGACCCTGTAATTTGCAGCTGAGTCAAACATTTCAGGAAATCATCAGCACAAATTGATAGCACTTAGCGCTGCAGTTAATGTTAATTTAAGAACTGTTCCTTTTATCACAGTTCTTGAATGTTCAATAATATCCATTTCCTAACACAAACATTTCCACAATACAGTGCAAGTACACAGAAACATAGATGTGTCACGATTTAGAGACAGAGCTAATAGTGCCACATACTATGAAAAACTGCCTAACATATTCCACATTAGTATCTTGTCTTCAGTTCCTTATAAGCTTCACCAAGTTTTAACTGTCTGGGATGAAATTTCCAATGCCAGATGCCCGCCCTAAGAGGAACATCTGAGAAACTTCAGTGAAAACCATTCAGCTGCTTCTAAGGCTAAAGAAAAAAGAGGGTTTAGCGTAATTTGAAATAGTTTGGTGGCCCTTCCCTGGAAAAGCTCTTACCAGTCTTTGAAAACCTGCAGGTTCACATGCTCTACACTTCTCTAGACTTGCCTTTTTTACTTTTTATTTTCTGTGTACTCTATTCTTAATAATAGGTTGTTCCAATGCCTCAGCTCCTAGGACTGATCAAATAGCAGGTGCTATCTAAAGCTTTCTGTGGTACGTGAAAAGCACACAAGCCACGAGGTTCCACAGCCACGCTGTGATGCTCTGCTCCCAGGGAAAGAGCTTAATCTGCTGCGTTTTTGCAACCTGTTTTTTACAAGGAAGTAAAACTCATAAGCTCGCAAGGGTGAGGGGAAAGAAAAACAGAAAAACAAGGATTCTGCCAGACAGGCTGGAAAGGAGAGAAAGCAGTCCCTGAAAACTAGTGGAACTGGGACTGTCTGAAAGGACACTAGACCACAGAGACAGGAATTCGAAGAAAACAGGTGACTACAGGTAGATAAATGAAGCAGATCAAGACGAGAAGTCAGAAGCAGAAGAGAGAATGGAACTGGCAGTGAAAGAAAAGGGTAATATATGACAAAGAGAAGCTGGGCTCTTGACAAGGAACCTTGAGGGAGGAAACTAAGCAAAGAGAACAAGAATGGAGGCTGGTGGTGGTAAGAGGCCAGCACGGGAAGAGAGAGGAAGATTAGCTAGGATGGTGTTGACAACAATGGGGTACATTCGGTCAAGTAGGAACGAAAGGCAGAAGGGTCTGGTGCTCTCTAAAATGTACTGCCCTCCTTCAGAACCTGGAGAAGAACCGAAAATTCTTGTCTTGGCACTCCACCGCTTTAAACCAATGACTGAGAAAGGTCTGGTAGGGTTCATGTCTCATCTGAGGCAGTTTACAGAAAACATATCACCAGTGCTGTCCGTGAGAGCTCAAGTAGAGTAGCTTTGGGCAGGAGACCTTAGCACCAAGCCCCACAATAAAACACCATGGGTGGTAAAACCCTTCTACTTAAGGGAATTTTAGTCTTTTCAAGTTTGGCCTTTTAAAAACCAGAGAAACCATACACAAATTTTAACAAGTGGTGTAGGAAGACACATGCTATGAAGTCAAGCACACAGACATAAAAACAAACAAAAAAAAGAATGCACGTACAAAGTGACGTGTTTATATTTGCAGAGAGTCTTCAGATGATCTTGTTTATCCTCACAGACCTCCTTGCCCCCACCCTGTGTGCTCAGAGCTCACTTGCTGGGCAGCTCTATGATGTTTAACCACAGACCCATTAGTTTACAGCTCCTGAATGCTCAACTCTGTGGCTGTAGCAGGGCTCTTGACAACGTTTTATGTGCCATTAGCACTTAGATTGCCTTTTCAGAAATATGGGGGTTTAGAGCTGTTTGAGAGTCCAAGTACTAAATGCTTTCAGCCCTACTAACCTTGCACTTCGCTCCAGAAAAATCTTTTCATGCAGAGTCTAAGCAGCTTTCTCTTAAAACACATTTCCTCCACTTTCAGACACACACGTAGTCCAACTGTTGGCTTGCATTTCGCTCCTCTCTCAAACAGTTTGAAGCTACACTTTCTTATTCGTATTCCTGTAATGCCTCTGAGCTTTAATCACAGACCAGGACCCACTAGGCTGGCAGTAATCTAGGCTCAGCAATTTAACATATATCATTAAAAGAAAATGAGAGGTTTGGTGTGGGAACAACTGTATGGTGTTTAGCACTTTCAGCATGTAAGTAAAACGGGCATAATAGCCCTGCTCTGCCTTACAGCAGTGTTGTGAGAACAGATACATTAAAGATTACAAGGCACTAACTAAGATAGTATGGTAAGAGGGACAAGATAAGCATCTAACCAAGTCCTTGAAATCAGTGGGAGTTTTGCCTAGCAAGAGGCTCCTGGATGTGATTTCAGAAGAGTAATTCAGTACGTACCACAAGAGGGGAGAATTTCTAGAAGCGTTTGTTACCCACCTAGTGCTGGTCAGTGGTAAAATTCCCAGCTATGATCTGGCTGATGCTTCATGCTCTTGAAAAACCTAACGGTTTTAATGCTCATATGTAACAAAAATCCAGGGTTCCATCCAAAACTCACTGAAGTCACCTGGAGCTTTTCCCTTAACTCTTGTGAGCTTTGGATCAGAGCCTGCAAGATTACACGAGTCTAATACTTAATTCTGAGCTGGAAAAAACCAAGCCACACCCTCATCAGGGAATCTGAGGAAAAATAGGGCATCTGTACCTTTTTTCTTTCTTTTGCTCTGGGACTGGTAACTAAACATATCATACATACCAGTGGTTTCTCTATAATTTACTACTAAATATGTATTCCTATCTACATACCTGGCTTTTTCTTCCCTTTCTGTCCTGGTACCACTTCTGTTGGTTCATGAGTTTTCTTCATCAACATGGAGAGGGTAGCATCATGTGTCCGAAAGAGATCCACAACTTTATATAAATCAACATCTGTGATCAGATCGCAGCTCAACACCAAGACATCAGTCTGTCAAAGAAGAAAAAAAAACCCCACACCCTTCAGAGATACAAATTACCACATATGGATTAGCATTTGAGGACCCAACAACCAAATACACACGTTAACTTTTTTCTTTTTTTTTTTTTTTAAACCTAAAGAAAACACAAGGTCTGCCCACACCCTGCCAAAAATATCTCCTGGTTTTTACCAGTGTACTTTCCTTGAGTCCTGCTGTTACTGTTATTTGGTTAATGCTTATCCAGCTCTGGACCATAAAGAATATGTGACCATCTAAACTGTCCTCGTCTGCTCCTAAGGACACAGAAGCCATGGTTTTTCAAGACTGATAGGAAATTCTGCTGTATTTTCAGCTACTTTTAGTTATATAATGATGTAGAAAAGAAACCTTTCTGAAGAAATCTTTTTTAGCTGACTTAGCATCTGGCTACAAACCACTGAAAAAGATATTTAAACTATGTTATTTTATCGGGGGACAAAAAAAGCAAAGACTATCTAGGATGTGATTTACTCAGTAATTGCACTGCCATGGTGGGCTCAGTTTAGAAATACATTTCCTAAAACCAGCAATACCCTATATAAAAAAGAAAAAAAAAAAAAAAAAGAGGAAGTTAGGTCCTATTTAATAACAGGCTTGTATTTAATTTTGATCTCAAAGGATTCCAAAGTCCCTTACCAAGTATTCAAGAGAACTGCCCACAGATCACAGAAACGTTGTCACGTGCCAAGTGAGACATGGCAGCTTCACTACAGTGCACACTATCAATATAATCTGGCTAAAAACCCTTACTTAGAAAAAAATCTTCTGTATTTCACGTGGGTTGTGGAATATACTGCCAAAAACCTACTGGTTCAGCAATTACTTTCATTTAAACTAATCCTAACATAATATTTGTGCAGCATGGCCTACAGAAAAGTAGCAAGTTACCACTTTTTGTTAATGATCAACCTTCTAAATGTGCCTCAAGAAGACAGTGTTTCTTCCGTGACATTTACCATTTTCGCTTTCTGTGCTACCATTTACCATGGTAAGCCTCCCTGCAGAGTGTGACGTGGTTGCCTAGCTTTCTCTTTCAAAAAGTCAATATTTAATAAGAAGGGCACTAGAAAACGCTTTGTAAAACCTGAGTTAATCCATGGAGGATCAGCAATTCTGCTTCTACTTTTTAAAACTAGTTTAAAGTAAACTGTTCCAGGACTGACCGCTCATTACAGAAAGGTTTATTATAGCAAAGCTTGGTTTACAGATTTTATCCAATACTAGGAGATTTCACATTGTAGTTGAGACTAACTCAGGTCTGGAATTTACATTATTTGACAGGTTCTCCTATAAATGCTGGGCAGTTTCACGTGTTTACCAATAAGGCACTGGAATTCATCATGTCACAAACTGTTGGAGCTGGATTTGGCATGCTGTGCAAAAGGTCAAGCTCTTCAATTTTCATGTGATTTCTCCCTACTTTACCGAGAAACACCTGGCTGCTTTACAGGAAGGAACAATGTGCAGGTTGAGAATTTTACACATTCAAAACCCGACTTGCATCACTCCTTTTAACATACTTTCAAAATGTGTATTTTATATTAAGAGTTTTGCCCAGCAAAAGTGCTTTAATTACCACTTCTCTAAAAAAACCAACATGCACACACTGGAAAAAAACCCAACAACCTAATCCACTAAAGCAAGTTGCCCAGCACTCTGGAGCAGCCCTGGTCCAACATTCCAGGGGTGTACAAAGAAAATAAGAAAAAAATTCAGCTTGGTATGGAAGTAAATCTCCCGCTTCACAACTGTAAACTGTGAAGAAACACATATTAAATATCCTGGAAAATCCTGCAAAATTTTCAGATATTCTGTTTTTACAGGAGCACACGTGAGTTACGATATTTGTAGAAAAGGCCAAAAGGTATTCAAGACACATATAAATAGACCTGTACTTTTCAAACTCACTCTGTAGAAGGAAGAGATTGCCAGCTTCAACTCTAAATGCATTCACTCCAGTGGTGAAAATAAGAAGTAATAAAACGAGACAGGCAGACCCTCCAACAGTTTCGTCCTAAGGAACGAGTACCTCGGCTTGTTAAACAAACCTTGTAATTATTTCACATCTTACTAAATGCTTTAATCCGCCACTAACGCAAAAACCCAACAAGCGTTTCATAGTTCTGACCAGGCTCCTGGGTTTTCTCTCCTCGCTATAGGACAAGCCTTTTGCAAAAACTGAATGCAAGACCCCTGAGGAGCATACGGGAACAGAACCACCAAATGTCTGGTTGCCATCTGTTCTACCCATTTACTCTCCCAATATGTAAATAAACGTCAGTGAGCGCAGGGACCAGTGAAACACACAGTTGCTCTGTAAAGCCCACATTTCTGCCTCTCCTCCTGATGAGCAGAGCAGTGGCCTCAGAAGCACGCTGAGAATACACCATGAAAGGCTCTTTTGGGACCTGACAGCCTCCCCTTTGAAACACCACCCCCCTCGTAAATAAAGCCCTCACTGTCTAATGGATGCACTCTTTTTTTTTTTTTTTTGCCAGTGTACAACTCCTGAATGAATAAACTAATGGTTGAAAGAAAAAATAAACCGTCCTAGAACCTTAGCAGAAGTGCGTGTTTTTCTTTACGTTTTTGGGGTGGGCGTAGAAGAAAGAAAATAAATGGTAGAGCTTGTGGGTTTTTTTACATATATACATGCCAAATAAATACAGTGCACCTTTCCCAACAAGCCACTGCTACAAAGAAGAGAAGTACGCACTTACTACACGCACTCATGTGCTAACAAGGGGTATGTGAACATACTTGACTTCATGAATTATGCAAACACCTAAGTACACACACACACACACATACATCTCTTAATGAAATACATGTAACAATGATTACATCAACCCCAAACTATTATACAAACAGATGATAAGAATCAACATGAACTGATTAAAAAAAACCCCAGCAAGCACACACCCCAAGCAGAAGGAAAGGAAAGGAAGGAAAACGCACGCACAAATGCACGCTCAGCACTCATTACAACCAGGGGCAGGACAAGGCAAGGGTCTTAACTCAAGGAGGACCACCTAATGGATGGGGCATGGAACAAATGCTTGGAATTTCTGGCATTTTCCTGCTCTGCTGAACTTCATTCGTGCCATTTTGTCTACTGCTTCAATGGCAAAGAGGAGCCCTTGTCACAGACTGGGGGGTTCTACCACTGAAGCTGCTGTACAGAGCAGGTGAAAACGCCATCAAGCATCATAAGTGAACAGCAAATGACTTTGGGTTTGGGAACACAGGGAAACACTGCAGTGCTACTCATCTGGAGGCAGCAGCCTTACAGAGCCATGGAAAAGACAAGGAGAATATGATGCTCCTTGAAGAGTCACCTAGGGCGTCAGTAATCCCGTTTAACCTCAGATTTACAATTTAGTCATTCAAATTCAAAATGTAGATTCGGATACTGATCAGTGGAGAAAAATGGGGTCCTGCAGAGACCATCCCACCCATGATCTGAGTTTCAAGGAGACAATTCTCCATCCCTACTGACGTTATGAATTATTGGAGTTCTGGGCTTCCAATCCAGTGATCACTCAACACAGAGAGTTCAGTCAAGTACAGGCACATGGCACTTAAGGCCCCCAAATCTCCACTCTACCCTTCCCACACTGGCTAACAGGACTTCACCAAATGTTTCTGAACTATAAAATCATCAGGTATTATGAAATAACTTACATACTTGATCAGGATAAATAAAACAGCGTAACATAAACCATCAAGAGATTTATACAAAATAGAGAGAACAGTAAAGAAAAAACACTGAAAACCAACATGTCAACAATTATACTAAACCAAGCACAGTATGGAAAATCTACACAAAAACAAGACTAAAAAGCACAATGTTTCAAGAACTCAGTTCAACCGATTTAAAAATAGAAAACATGTTTTCAATGGAACTAATTCATACCACAGATCAAAAGATGGATGCAATTATATGGTGTAATATACCAGCATAAATAAAAAGCCTTGGACTTTCTCACACCCTGCATACAAAGGCAATGCTAAAAACCCTTTTATATTCAGCAATTATTGCTGGAGCCCTTATGATCAAACAGGAGATGTCAAGGTTACCACAGATAGTTGGCAGCAAATGACCAATTTTTAGTGGTATTCACTATGCTTTTTCTATCAAGTATAGACAAGGGCAGGACCTCATAGCCTAAACTGCTGATGGCCTTAAAAACAGCAGACCAGAAAATGAGAAAACATGTGTTGCAAAGAAGCCTCTAATATGAACAAAATCAGCCTCAAGAGAAAGAGGAAAACAAATGTCAGATTGCATTACAAACAGAAAAGAAGTAAGACATCCACAAGCAGTAGAACCAGCTCCTAACAGAACTGAAAATGGACAAAAAGTTGAAATTAAAGGCTAAAAATTTCCAACTGCAAATTATTACAGCTGAGACTTTGACAGCAAAAGAAAGAAAATCAAGAGATTAGACTGTTCCTACACTCAGTCTAAGTTAACACATGCACAAACAGAGAACTTTGCATCACTTCCTGCGGTGTCACCATACAAAGAGGGGAGAGAGGAACAAGTTATAATTACTGCTGGAATTAAGACTGAGTTTTATACACAATGGCCTGGAACTTCACCCACATGTTGCATTAACAGTGGGTTTGTGTGTAATGCTTTTCATTATTCTAAAGAGTGGAAAGGGAAAGAACAGTTTGGCTGTGGGCAAGCATTTTGATTGCTTGTTAGCGTGCTTCAGGCAAAGCCAAAGATACCTCACAGCAACTGCATTACTCACCACTCTTCAGATCAGAAACTTACATCCAAAGCTTTAGAGAATCCCTTTTTATCTCAGTCTCCATTAAGAGCCCTCCAATTTCCACACCTGTAACCTCTTTGAAGCTCTGTGGCTGTTGCTGTAACTGGAGCAGGGAACCTCATTTAGTTTTTGATGTCTGCAGGATCTTGTTAGCTACCAACTGACATGGCTGCCTTTGGCTGGGA